AAGTGCAATATACTAGTGAGTCAACATGTTTGCTTTATCCATAGTAGATGCCAGATTCTCTTACTTTTGTGTCAGCCATTTCAGAGGGATGCTTAGCTGTTTATTCTGTGCGCTGTCTGATAACATTCTGAAAATGAGGCTTGTGAAACTGAAATATTAAGGAAAAAAAAATCTTGGAAGTTGTGGTGTTTTCTGTATCTGAAATCTTGCAGCTTTTTATACACATTCTTCAGTGAATCCTGAAAAACTTCCTGCAAATGAGTGATGGAACATCACGTAAATGGATGAGTCACCTGGGATGCTGAGCAGTTGGTTTGAGTGAGTAGAGGGCTGTCTAAATGGAACGATTAGCCAAGGAAGTCTGGGATAACAAAATGGTGCAGGAATACTTTGATGTGGTTAAATTGCTGTAGCTTCTGAATAAACTGAATCATACTGTAGTGATGCAAGGAGGCGAAGAGGATGCGTTTGGTGCAAGGTAGTTCAGATTCTTACCTCCCAAGAGAGACTGACTTCATAGCTTCTGTGGGATTTTCAGGATTTTGGATGAAAAGTGTGAGTTACAAGTCAAATAGATTACTGTTGTTCTGGTGTTGATGGTTGATTACATACATGATATTTCAAGCTTTTGAAATGTACATATGCATGCTGTTGCAACAGCTGCTACTATCTTAGCTAGGAAATACACAATTTGAAATTGGTTGTTTGGAAAAGGCAGGTTGTACTTGAAATAAATGGACATAATTCTTCTTCATTCTACAGAGGTACTGGAGGTTGTTACAGAAAACTGTTTATTGTTGTGTTCTTACTAAAAAGGAAAAAAAACCCCAAGATTTTAGTGCATTTTGCATCCATGAAACCTCTGTTTCTCTTGAGACTCCTGGTGTAAGACATTTGGTTCGTCGCATTATGGATAGTGAAAATATGCAGCAGAGAACTTCAAACTGAGACTACTTACATAGATACCTATGTAGCCTTGCTATTTAGCATGGTTTCCTGTGATGCCATCATCATTAAGACAAATCGCTATATTTAGTAAATACTTGGTTAGCACTAGCATTTCTGAAAGATTGTACTCCTGACCGTGTCTCCTCCTCTGCTGTAATGCTAGAGTGGTATTAAGGATTCATAATAAATCCAATATGAGTTAACTCTTTCTCACAATTTCCTTTTACTTTGCTTTAAAGTTTAAAATTCTTTGCTCTAAAACTTTATTTAATGCTTATAGCATAAAATTGCCTCTAAACACCTGCCTTCCTAGTGTTGATTGTTTCACGCTCTAGTTGATTCCATTATCCTTCTTCTCTTTGTTACTGTCTCTCAATTTAGTTGGGGTTAAGTTTGTATCAGGTGGACACCTGGTAAAGAGATGCCAGCTGTACTGAAGTGGAATTCTTACTTTTGTTGGCATTTTTATGCTAAAAAGAGCTGTGCAGAAGCTCTCAAAAGAGGCCAGGACTCATACGGAGCTGTAACTGACAGTGAGCGTAGGGAAGGTCAGTAGTGGTGCTTCTCATGTAAAAAAGCCTTTCGGAACTAGTGGCCTGAGAGGTCATGAATTCATTTCAGTGCTATTTTTGTGGATGCTTTTGTAGTGAATGATCAAAACTTATTACAGTAACAGAAATTCTCAGAGATTTCAGTTAGATTTGGGTAAATTAAGCAATGTTAACTTCTAGTTAATAGGAAAAAAAATTAGGAGAACTGCCTGGTTTGGAACTTGCATGCTAAGTTCTGGTTCAGAACACTCAAGCTGTGAGTTGTTACATTTGTGTGTCTTCTAGTGGGAATGTGGACATAACTCTGCTATAATTACATTCCTTCTGTACACTTGGAGAGGAGCTTCACTGATGCTGATAAAATTATGATTTCAGATTAATCCAGATTCTTATCCGGTGCCTTTGACTCTTGCTATAAAATAAGCAATAGATTTTCAGCTTAAAAAAAGAAATCTATTTTGTCAAGCTCATTTGACTTTATCAAATGCTGTTGAGAAGTGATTAACAGTGCAATTTGCGATGGATGGAGAACGGTGTGGTAAAGAAGCCTGTTTTAGAAATGGTGTTGCAGGTAGAAATTTGACGCTTGGATTTACAGGCTTTGCTTCAGATGGTTACTATGGTTATGTGATAAACCAGCAGGAAGCGACTCCTTGGTGGTTACAAGGCACAAGCATTTGAGAGGATGCAGATGCTCTCTGTTAAAGCCTACGTTCCAGGCCACCCTGTGGTGCACTGTTGTTGTCACTTAGCCCTCGGTTCATACTTATCCGCATGTGGTTGTGAGATGTTCCTGGGCAGGTGATCTGTTCTGTCAACTTGTGCTCCATGGATTTAGTTTTTTTTACTTCAAGGCATTGCCTAATCTATTCACAACTAGATAGTATTTGTGCTAAATGGATTTTATTCTGAAGAGGAGAGTCTAAGTAGCCTTTTCCCATTTCTGTTCTAAAAGCCCCTGATACTTGAGTTCTCGCAGCAAGGTTTTGGTGGCAGTTGAAGCGATTGCTTTTAGCTGTTTGCTAGCCTTTATATTCTCTGGGGATGTAGACCAGAGTGAGCTTGCTTGTCGTTTGTAGAGTTTCTTCGGAAGACTTTCTTCTGCAGAAGTCAAGGTGACCTGCCTGACTTCTGATACTGATGTGCTCTGACCTCAGCCTGATTCGTAACCACCTAAAGACGAGCATCTCTTCCAGTCTAGATTGAAATCATGGGTTAGTATAACTGAGAAATACTTTTGTCTTTGAATTCCTTCCATTGAATGTGGAATTTTAGCTATACTGATCAGCAGGCTTAATTTGAGCCTAGTATGTAGAGATTATTTTATGGCCTACTGGGGGAAAGAGGTACTGCTCTGCTGTCATGGTTTTGCAGTTAAAAAACACAAATGTGTCAATTCGATGGGTAGTGCCTATAGTGAGGGTGCTGGAGGTGAACAGTTTTGCATCTGAAACACAGTGTACTAGCTTTGAGGTGTAATTCTTCTGGGACTGGTTGTTTTTTAGAAACCTTGACTTACAGTGCCTTGATGTGCTGCTGACATGGGATAAAATAATGGCCTAATTGCAAATTTGTAGAGATGATCTGAAAACAGAATTTAGGAAGATAAGGGAAGATACAGAAAAAATAATTTCACACTTTTTTAAATGGCTGGTAGAAAATCTAGAACTATTTCCAACTTTCCCCCCTTGTGGTCTCACTGCTGAGATGGAGAGAAACGTCTCCTGGTGTAAGCAGAACACAAATTCTGTGGCTATGAAACGTCCCAATGTAGGAAGGGTTTTTATGGTATGAAGTATTGGACTGTAACTCAAGTTCACTTCCTTGCTTCATCCAAAAAAACCGCCCATAACCAAACCCAAAAACACAACTCTCTGAAATCCCAGCCTGTTGTCTGACTATTTCAGGCTACAATTTCTTGCCTGTGAAATGAAGATACTGGTGTTTTACTGGAATACTAGTATAATCTAGTGTTGCTGGGTATCACTGTGTTTGTAGCCAAAAGCAGCAAGTCCGGGCCTGCATGATTGCAACAAGCAGTGCGGAATTTGGGGAAAGGTGCTAAGTGCCTTTAAAGCTTTGTTTGCCAGCAAAGTTGCTTTGATCCTGGCAAAACATCAGTTATCTGAAATTAATGAAGATGGGTACTCTACACCTCTATCTGTCATTAGAACAGGATATTATACTGCTGCCACATATAAAATGAGATGCACAACCATGTAATTCCGGCATATATCATTGAAGTGCTACAGATTTGAAATGCTTGGCCTTTTTCCAGCTTGGTTGATATAGCTAGTAAGACTCTTCCTGCACTTTTGATAGTCCTAAGGTAGTCCTGCTAAATAGCTGCTAAGTTTCTTTCTTTTAAATTAATCGTTGAGTTAACTCTCAGTGGTGAGAGAATTCCTGAGTACAGGTTGGGTTTCAAATGGTTAATGAAGGGTTTCTTTTGTCTTTCAGGAGGAAGATGTTTTATTGCGATAAACAATGACAGTGCATCCTTAGGAATGCTCTTTGTGGAGCATAAGAACTAGAAAATATTTGTCTTGAGCAACTTTTAGATTTTTACAAGACATGAAGCAGGGTATTAGTTGTGTTTTGAAACATGTCTTGTAAAACTCTAAGACTTTGGAATTTTCCTGTAGAAATATAAAAAGGCTCATGGAGATTCACTCCTAGAATAGCTGGTGTTCTTTGTGTCTTCCATCTTTTGAATAGCAGTTACCTATCTGAACATAAAAGGAGAACACAATGACTGTCCTTTAAATATTTGTTTGGCTTTGAGAATAGTATCTTTGCCTTCTAGCAAGCTGTGTGTGAATTTTCAGATTTCTAAGGTCATTATCATTAATCAGGCACTTCTTTCTTATCCTTGCTGTAATTTTATTCTGAGGCACCGCTTTTGTTGCGGTTACTGCCAAGACTGTTTTTAATACAACAGACCTTATTTTACAGCAACCCTGTAGAGTCCAGTTGTCAAAAGGAAACAAAAATAATTACTCAGTTTCTGTCAAATGTAATTTGAGAAAGCCCAGTCCTTCCCTGAGGTAAATCTAATTTAGTTTGCTGCATTTCATCTATGATTGGTTGCCTTGGTTTTCTTCACAATTAGAAGAGAAAATATGTTAGTGCTACCTTCTTAATAGCAAGCTAACCACAAAAGATCTGATTAGTTTCCTGTCTTATTTTGATCTGGTTCATAGGTTGTGACCTGGTCATTTTTTTGAACTGAATTTGGTCTTTTATGACTTCCTTTTGTTTTTCTAGCAAAACGTCTATTCAAATCGAAGTTAATTTTTATGCAGTTAATTCCCTTATTTATCATCATAAAGCATCTAGTTTCTATTTTTAGATCACACTTGGAATAAATTACATGTTATGCAAATGAAGTGGTGGCTCTTTCTAAGCTTAAGCTGTTTTTTAATTTATCCTGTTTTTATGTTCTTTCTTGGAGGTACAGAAGTTAATTTCCATTATTTTAAAATCTTGTTTTTTTTAAAGATTGCGTATATATTGAAAGTCGCCGGCCGAATACCCCGTATTTCATCTGCAGCATTCAAGACTTCAAACTGGTAAGGAAAATTTTCACATATCCTCCTTTTCCCTGCCCCATTCTCCGGTGAGATGGCAATATTTCTTAGTCTGTATCTCTTCCTGTAGCTCCTTGCTCCTTCTGAGTAAATCTTTAGCTTCTGAATAGTAGCTGTTTTGCTATTAAGACAGTGATCTGTCCTTGGTATAGACTTAATTAACTGGGCTGTAGAGTTCAAATTGTGGTCTATGTCATTTTAATGTTTTGGAACCCACAGAAATATTAACTTTGAGTTGAGTGTTTTCGGGAAATTGTGGCTCAGTAAGTTAAGTTGTTTTTTGTTTTTTTTTTTCCTGGGAAGTTAAATTTGGCTGTGCCTTTGCCTCTAGCTTTATATAGCACAGCTGTGTAAATGGAAGCATGTGGGCTGACTTGTGGTAGCCTGTTTATCCCAGCTGATCGGTGGACTGACAGTTGAGGATGCAAAGAGAGACTAGACCAATATGACAAGTTTGATTTGGAAAAATACAACATTTGAGAATGCTTTAGCACTTTATTCTTTAAAAATGAAAAGCCGGGGACCTGTGCAAGAAAAAATTAGTAGGAGTTGTGGTTTGCCCCTTTTTGTCTGAATTTTTATGCTTAAAAGGTAAAACACGTTCATTCCCCGTATGCTGTAGCTGCACAGAAAACCACTTGCTGCTTACGCAGTGCAGAGCAGGAAGCTGCTGCCTGTTGGACACAAAGGGCACCTATGCTTGTTTTGGACTTTCCAGTGCTTTGGGTAGTGTAAGGGGGATATTTGGAAAAGGTAACTGTTACTGATCATCTTGCTGTTGTTGGTTTATGGAAGTTCTGAAAATGTAAAACTGTCCTTCTTATCAATGCATAGTCTACAGACGTAGATCACCCACTATCTGTTGCTATCAGAATATATCTTCCTTTTCCAAGGTTTCTTATTCAAGTCTTCCATTTTACTCCTTACAAGTTTATTTTGTGAGGCCACAGTGAAGGAGAACGTGTAGACCTTCTTCAATATTGACGGCACTGCTTGGCACTTGTGAGTGCGGGCTCTCTTCTCTCTCCTGCCCTCCCTCCCTCTCTCTCCCCCGCCCCTTTTTTTAAAAGGAGTTCTTGAATTTGTAGTTAACAGGTTCTAGCAATGGGTTAAGCCACAGTTGTACTACTCTTGCGCATTAGCAGGTGCTTTTGTGTCTGACTAGAATTACAATGTGATAGTTGCCATTCTGGGCAATAAGTTCCTGCTGAGTTGCACTAATTGCTCAGGATATTAACAACAAAAGCTGAAGCTTCTGCTGTCAGCATTGGTCTTGTACAACACATTAAAGCTGTTTGCAAAACTATGTGGGAAATGTATTGCAGTATGTTTTAGTACCTTTAAAATTTTTTTTTGAGTGGTTTCTCTTTCTCATGTTTTCAGCACGCAAAGGATATGACATCAGGGTTGCTGGCAATTTTGCATATTTTTTCACATGGAAATAGTATCATTGTTTTATGTTTACTTTTGCCTGCTCTGAGTTCTTTAATTTCTCTGTTAGATTTTTTTCTTACTGACATCATGCATAAAAGGAACTTGTAAAAATGACAAAACCAGAAAACCCCCTTGATGCTGATTACGCTAGCAAAACTGAATCTGCAGTGTGTTTGTCACTGATTTTACTACTGGGGGAAAGGAAAGATGTACAGTGGAAAGGACACTTGATTTCTCTTCTAGTGGGAAATACCAACAGGAAAACAGTCTTGTTTTGCCTTCAGCTAAATATGTCAAGTGAAGCAGGGAAGTTAAAGTCAACAGCTTTGAAATGTCGCCTACTAATTAAGTACATTATCATGTTGGTTGTCATAAACTAAAAGTTTTTGGCTGAGTGTATGAGTCTTACCCTATACTTCCTGTTGTTCTAGGTGCAGTTCAGGCATAGGAGTTGATGGTGGTGTTTTTTTACTGATAAAAACAAGGAACGTAAGCTTGCATTTTAAAAAAAGGGAGGAGGGGGTTAAAAATGACAAAGCAAATGCTGTCTGATATACACATGTGCTATCTTGCAGTGTAAAGGTACTGAGGGTCATTCTGGGGATGAGGCTGGAGTACCATTCAGTTTCGTTCTTGAAGTAAACTGAAGTTTGACTTGCTTTTTCCAGTAAGATCTTCAATCATAATTAGATATGATTTTATGTTTATTGTGGAACTAGAAACTGGTTCTATGAAGTCTGGCAGTCTCTTCTATTTTAGTGTTCAAGCGTCCTTCATTTGACAGACAGATGGCAGGAGGCAAAGAAGGCAGAAGCAAATACTGAAGTATAGAGTGGTGTATTCCCTAAAATAGGGCTTACTCCCTTTCATGTTACTCAAGTTGTATTAGAAACAGCATCTTTGTGGTTAGAACTGTTTTGCCTGCTTCACTTTCACAAATACCAGTGTGGAAAATGGGGTGAGATTACTTATAACTTGATGAAGTCATACTACTCCAGAAGCAGATGTCGCAAATAATTTCAGAGCAGCTTTGTATTCTAGTGTCTAGATCTTGTGGCCTGGAGAAACCAATAATTGTTTTCCTATGCATGCTCTTTCCAGTTCCAGCAATTTTGGCAAGTAAAATGGTATGCTTTGTTGCATTAGCTTATACTTCCATCAGAAGTTTCTCTTGAGGTTAAGATGAATCAGTCTACTAAAAATTCTACTAGAGGAAGAGCTCTTTTGCTTTCCCGGAGAACAATTGCACTTCACCAATGGCCATAAAATCCTCGTGATGAAGCTTTACTTACTGGTAATTTCTTTGTAATCTGTCCTGTTGCCATCCTGCATTTTGTTGCTGTGTGTTGCTTTGCATGAAGCAGAGCTGTGATGCTGCAGAGATTGGTCGTTCCCTTCGTGAGTTGTATTAGTTCTTGTATTAGGATAAGCTGAGGTTGGGAGGAAGAGCAGCAGATTTGGTTCCCAAGCGTTGAGGGCAACTGGAGGAGCGTAGCTAGCTTTCTAGGTCTGTCTCCTGAGTCAAAAAATCAAATGGTGCATTAAGGAAGGCCGTGTGGGAAGAAGTTAAGTGATTTGGTCAATCCAGCTTACCTATGTTAGAAACTGTCATGGGTAACATTTATCCTCTTTTGTCTTTACCATTTCTGTGGTACTGGGTTCCTTCAAGCTTTCTGGGATTCATGTAAATGACTTTATGGAGTTGAGAAGTAAAATATGATTAACTATGATGTGTTGTGTCTTAGGGAAACTGTCAACAAGAAGTGGCACTTTAAGGAATTGTCATGTCCGTTCTGGTCTGCCATTGCTTCAGTACTTCCATAACATGGGTTTCACTGTAAGACTAATACCGTCTTTCAAAATCACTTCCAATAACATGTTGATAGTCTGATACGTGCTTGGGGAGAGACCTAACTAACACCAGCACCAAAGGTGTGATGGGAGTACTGCTCTGCTATGCGAACTTCTTGGCATGCTTTTAAGAAATGCACTGACTATTCCTGCAGCTGAGAAACTGCTTTGAAAAAGCATTGATTTGAAACCTGCGGGAGCCTCATAGAACACTGTTAGGGAATAAAGATGATGACAGAAGGGACTTCACCTGTTCCTTTATTGCTTGTCCTTTTCCACTGAGTTTGGAAAACCATCTGTAGTTCAGATGTGCTATTTAGCATCTACTTGGTATAATGCGCATCAGACTTCGAGAAGGCAAATGCACACTCAATTCCTGGTCAAACTTCATAGATTTTTTTTTTTTTTTAATGCCTAATTCTCTATGATACTTAGAGGGAACTGTGTTAATCTAATGATATGCCTCCCCAGCCCGTATGTCTGATGGTCCGTAGTTCTGGTACGGTTTTGTGTTTTGGTTTTTTTACACCATGTTTCAGTACACAAGGATGTCCAGTAAGGTTTGGAGGTGATGAAACAAGCTATCTGTTAGTCTTAAATATGAATGCTTATCAATTTTCCTTTCTCCCATAACTGTCTGTGAATACAAGTGGTAACTGCCATTTGTTGGGGAGCTAAGAAGTTTCACTTTTTCTCACTAATGATATCTGCATAGAATATTCGTAGTGAGAAAGCAATCAGGAATAATTTTCCTTCTTTAAAAGCTGTTTATGGCTTAAAAGCCATAAAAGTTGCCTGTGTTTAAACATGAGTTTCTACAAATAGGAGGAGGGTGTTTTTGTTGGTGCTGGTATGGTAAATAGGAATGGAAGATACTTCAGTAGCTTGTGGCAGCTCAAGTTCCCTGATGTTTTGCTACAATGTTGTGTTTTGGATTTAGAGTTACGGCATAGCTGAGACTCATTTTAATGGTGAATTGTTAAGAAACTAGTCAAATTAACTTTTTTTGTTGTTCAGAATGGTGCGTGATATGAAAGGTACCACAGGGAAAAAATGATAGTGTCTTCAAGGAAGTTTTTGTTTGTGTCTGTTTTCTCCGTGGAAGATGCCACAGCAAGTACAACCACACTTGCTTTTACTTTGCCTTGCCACAAAATGACAGTGGATGTGAAAAACACCTTCTAAATAGATACAGTTCCTTTCTGGTGTAGTAGTATTTTTAGAATCCAAGGAAATTTCAGGGCTTGTTTAGGACCCAAGCAAAGGGTTGGGATTCAGGAGTGAGGCAACAGCGAGTATTTTTAAGGCACAGTGTCTTGGATCTCTCCTGTTATTTTCATCTGTCTGAACTTTGCTTAAAAAAGCAGATGGATGGTATGCAGGAGCTGGGAGTGAGTGAAAACTCACTTAGACATTTCAGCTGCTGGCTGCATGCTGAGATCTGAGTGCTGGGTTCAAAAACCAGCCGCCTGTTGTAGGAGCCTTTTAGGTTCAAAAATTGGTGAGATTTCAGGATGGGTGAGGGAAGGGATAGCAGGGAAACGTGCAGATATTTTTCTTTCTCTCTGTTTTTCAACAAATTAGAAGTGCAGTGTTGGTCCAATTTATCTGTTGAATCAGATGCTTCCTTATACCACTAAAAAAAATGTTCTGTTTTTAATAGGTCATATTTTTCAGCTTTTGCCTTCTAATCTGTT